CTTCCCATTATTTGCTACTGAATTAAAAATGTATAGATTCTATTGAGCTAGTGGCGCCGTTTAATAGGTCTTGTCAACTGTTTATCATGGACTGGTAGGTAAAAACTAAAACTGTGATAAATATGGGTATTTAAAATAGCAGTGCGTTGGTTAAGCACAAGAAATGTCCATGCCATGCCATTTTTTCACTTCGATTTTAATCGTTTATCTTATGTGTGTGAGGCAACATCTTGTTTGTATATTTTTGAGTTTGAGTTGGTTATGGTAATGGTAAATAGTAATAATACAAGTAAAAAATGTCGGCTGAGAGTCTAATGAAAAAAGACTGCAATATAACTGTAAAAGACTGAAGAGTTTCGAAAATATAACCAGTCCAGAGAGAAAACAAGTTTTAAATATTTTAATAATTTGGGTTCAAACGACGCGCAAAATGCTTATTTGGTTGGATTAATGACTCGTGTGCCAGTTCAAAGAAGAAGACCTCGTCGAGCCAAAGAAAAAGTAAAATTCCACGATGCTTATTTTACTTATAACATAAGACTTAACCGTTAAAGGGTTGTAAAGGAAACTGACTTGTGCTTTAAAGCATTCCAGCCAATTCACAGTTAAGTAAAGGCAAAATGGAATACCGACAGGAAATCTGAAAGCTACAGGAACGTGAGGAAAAGACAAGCGAGGAATGTATAGTTCCAAGCATGGGAAATTATCTCCAGAATCTATTAAAGCCGTATGCAACCACTAAGTTGGTTTAAAACTCAATTATCCCGTTACAGCTTGCTAAAAAAATATATTTTTCAGAAAATTTGGACATTAACAAAATGTTCAACTTGTGACATAGAGGTAAATTTTCAACACAAAGTTTAATTTGTGTTTTGGATATCCAAGAACAGATACATTTTCAGCATGTATTATGTATTATCTGAGTCAATTTTCTATGTATAGTTTCGACATTCACGTGTTTCTTACAAGCCAATCCATTTTTTATACGTAACCTCATATACTTGCAGTTACAGGACCAAATGAAGTGTTGTCGTTCCTATTTAATTTTATTACTAATTTTATGGATAACGAAGTAAAACATTGGCACGTAATTTGGGATTTGGGATACTGTTTCACTGATGCCTAAATTTAAAATTTTTCAACCATAAATACTAAATATCCAATTTTCTCAAAACAAAGATAATGTGACATTTCTTTGTGGCGTTTCTTTTCTATTTTATAATTACAAATTTCCACAGTATTCTTAGCTATGAAGCTGTAAAATCTAGGATAATTAAATTTATGTAAGTGCAGATGCAATGACTTAAGCCAAAACTGTTCCAAAAAATTTTTTTGGGTAGAAACAGCACTTGTTTTCAACAAAATTGTCACCGCTACCGGAAATGGTTAAGCATGTATCGTCAGCGTACATGGTGGTTATAATATTGCTTTCCAAATGTTGGGGAATATGATTTATATATAAAAAAAGACGCTTTTCTGCTTAATCGCTGTTGTTTAATGAAACACTTTTCCGATTATTTGCTCTTACAAGTATTTTAAAATATTATCTTTATTTAGCGTGAAGCTGGATAGAAATATATATTATCTTTTTTTGTTTGAGTGGAATTTTTTAAATGATAGGTTTGTTGTTGATATAATTAGGTTTGAAATTTTTTTTCCAAAAAAAACCTGCAAAATTATCAGCGCAATTTTTCAAAAATAAAAGTTGAAATATATTCTTTTTAAATGAAAAATATTTCGGTGGTGGTGCGGTCCATTCGAGCAGATCGTTAATTATGTTAATTGAAAATAATCGCCCAAAGCTTCCCTCTCCTAAAACCTTTGTTACCTTCTCAAATTGGCGACAATTACCTGCGAGGGAGAAGTGATATTTTACCGTCTCTGCGGTAATTTATATTTATTATAATTTAATTCGCTTCACTCGAGGGCCGGACGACTACATTCGACTACCGACTACGTTTTAATTATACGCTAGGATTAAAAAAAATCCGCTTCATAAATTCCATAAACGAGCGTCTATATTTGGAAAGAGATCATAATCTTCTGGACGGCAACTGTCGCGCTGTCCCACAAAGTCGAAGATTACATCTTAATTAATTTTTTTTCGTCGATATGTTATTTTAATTGGCCACCGAGATATGCGTAAAATTAACGCACACAATATACTTGATGGTTTCCTAATCCGCTACCTGTTTTCAACACTTATTTATTATGGGTGCTTTATCGTCAGTTTTACTGCTATTTTTTCGGTATCCGGTACTTTCACAAATTCTCGGAATTTTTAGTACGACACCGCTTGCCCGAATCCATTTTTATATTCATATTGAATATTAAGAAACACCGATTGTGAATTTTATCACATTGATAATATTTAGAACGTATTTTAACTTTACAATAATTGAATATTGGATGTTAATCAGTATGGAGAAATACCTCTTAATTGTACTACAATCAGAGCACTCCAGCTACCTTGAACATAAAGAAAACCAAAGTTATGATTGGCTTCTAACCAAAACTAACCAAAAAAGAATCGTACACTTTCGAAATGTTGTCTTGATGTGGAACAAGGAAAACAAGTGACAACAAAAAAATGCTCTTGAATAAAACGCAAAAAAGGATCACTCACATTTTATTAAGAATACAATCGAAATTTCATCTCGTGGCACGACTTCTAACTATTTTGTTAAGGCTTAACCTTCTTCATGACGACTATTTCCTCGCAACTGATTATTGCATTTTCTATCAGATCTTATGGATTTTTTGTTTTGGTTTTTTGGAATGTCTGACAATTTAATTGTCTGTGTTAGTGATTCCAAAAAGAAGAAGTTCAGTGATTACATCATATTGAATCTTACACATATATTCAAATGAGGTTTGGTGAAGATTGATTTTGTCCTAGAAAAAGCAGACCTGCTCTTGATCTGTTCTGTCGTTCTAAATTTGTCGTCGAGGTAGCTATTTCGGTATATTTCAGCCAAATTTGACAATTTTATTTTAGAAAACAGTGAAATATTTTTCAGTCAAAAGTCTTAATAATTTTCCTCGAAACTCCGTAAGATATATCCAAATATAATTTGCTGCTCTCTTCACGTCGTTAACTGCTACGTAAAATTTAATGATGAAACTTTTTAGGCATGAACGTGGAATTTGAGAAAAAAAATCTGGAACATTTTAAGTATCAAACGCCAGCCTATTCTCATCGGAAATTTATTGTATCAAAACTTTCCAAGACATTTCGCAATAAGGGATCAATTAATTACACTTCATTGCGATTGTCAATTTGATAAAGACGTCAAATAACGAATCTTAAAAAATTCATAATATTTACCTCTGAGCGGACTGCAGAATTATGTAAGGGAGCAATTACATCAACTAATACTAATGGAACAATGGATTATGGTAGCAACTGCTTCAAATTACTCAAGGCAGTAGACAGTGATTTCTTATATAATCATTTGATTTTGAAATTTTTGTCAATTTTAAGATAAAACAAAAAGTATCGGCTAAGGTAAGGTTAAAATTTGTTTCCACAGCACACTTTTGCAGCCTGTTGTTCACTGTAAAGTTTAGCTATAACGCTAAAGTGAAACTACCTCTCCAACTTAGATCCAGTCACCTCATTAAGAAAATTTAAATAAAAGTTTATGCAATATAGTAGGGGGTTCCATAAGAGGAACGATGTGAGATGTCGCTCCTAACAAATCACATTCTGTTGTATTTCTATTTAAAATCTTTGGTCGTAATATTGTTACATGTCTTTTCCATATTTCTTATATTTAACTGCTTTTAACTGCTAGCAATTTTTTTATTTATACTATGAAATTTTGTTTTTTGCTTTGTATGTTTTTTTTTTCGGTATAACTACTATATTTATTCTATAGAAATTCATTTTAATATTTATAATAAAGGATAAGTTATTAGCTTTAGGGGGTTGCATAAAAAGCACGCACCATGTTGGATGTCGCTCCTAACACATTACATTCTGTTGTTATCTTTCTATTTAAAATCTTTTGTCGTAATTTTGTTATATGTCTTTTCACATATTTCTTATATTTAACTGCTTTTATCTGCTAGTAATTTTTTTATTCAATTCATCTTGTTTTTTGCTTTGTATGTTTTCTTTTCGGTATAACTACTATATTTATTCTATAGAAATTCATTTTAATATTTACTGAAGGATCAATTGTTAGCTTTAGGGGGTTGCATAAAATCCACGTACCATGTTGGATGTCGCTCCTAACAAATCAAGTTCTGTTGTTATCTTTCTATTTAAAATCTTATCCGTATTTTTGTTATGTCTTTTAACATATTTCTTATAATGTTTGTAAACTTATTCTCCCCATTTAACTGCTTTTAACTGCTAGTAATTTTTTTATTCAATACTATGAAATTTCTTTTTTTTTTCTGTTTTTTTTTTCTTATTATTATTTATAATATGATATAATATGCATCCAGCGTAGTTATAACCACTGCCTCAGGCTAATTGTTGGGATAATAAAATACTATAGTGTCGATGAAAAAACGAAAGAAACTGGATAGCTCTTGGATGTGAAAAATCAATTGCTTGCGTCTAACTTTTCATCCAAAAACAATACCACAATCATGGCTTAGTCACCATATTCACCGGATATGGTCGCCCACGATTTTTTCCTGTTCCCAGAACTCAGGAAACGCATGAAAGGAAGGATGTTTGGAATGATTGAGGAGATAAAGAAAAAATCTCTGGAAGAACTCAATTCTATCTGAGGGAGGGGGATTACTTTAAAGGGGACAACATTAAACTTAAAGTCACCTTACTTTTTGAACACACCTCGTGTATTCAAGGTATACCCGACAAATGTTACCTATAGAACGACCAGGTCTATCGCCTCTTTACTCTGTTATCTTTAAGCAACTGGAATGTATTTTTTGAGAAGTTTATTTGGTTAGCCACCCATTTAGCTTAGTTTAAAATAGCTTCAACTAATATTAAAGTCACTAGGTTTACTAGGTTTACGAACCTCTTCTCCTTTGGCATCATGATACCGAATCCACTTCTGCAACCTCGGTCTCCAGTACTCCAGCATGTAGGCTTCGGCGTATTCGATACCTTGCCCGTTACCGAACCGACCTTGGGTTTCGGTTGCCGTGATCATGTGGACCGTCTTCAGGTCGATCTGGATCCATTCTTCAGGTTCGGTTGTCGCTTGTTTCTGCGGACACCAAGCCCCTCCGTTTTTGTCGGTCCGCACTCTGGAAGAGGAAAAAGTTGCCTTTAAATTTCATTCGCGCCGCGGCCGTTTCCTCATTTCGTCGATAAACATAAACACGGGGCGAGTTCAAACGCACGGCGTTAAATGTTTGTAGCCACTATCTAATGGTGTTTATAAAATCCACATATCAGCCTTTTAACAACAACCGATTTTTCTTTCTCCGAAATAAACCGGAAAATAAATACGCGTCGCACCTCAACACGCGGCGGAAAAAGTTGTTTTCGCAGCGGCGACTCGCGCTGGGGGCAGGTTTATTAAAAATTAGCGGGAATTGTCGTCGTTTTTTTTTATTTTAGTTTTGGCAATTATTTTGCCTTTTACGGGGCGTTTCAAGAAACGTGCATTAGTGCTTGACTTGAGATTAGTCATAAGAAAAAGAAAAAAGTACCGTGCTTTCAATGTATCTTGATAACGTTTTAATTGGTTGTAACTTCTTTGTTTTTAGAGATATCAAGGTAAACAAAAAACACAACGTAGGGTTAGTAGCCAAGTTTTTTTCGTACGTACAAAACAAAACACTATTAATTTTCTGACATATAAGCCTAGATCATATCTTTTTAAATAGAACACCCTGTAGATTATATATGTGTTTAATAGAATATCTTATTCCGATTACAATGACGTAACACACTTTATATTTTAATCCGCTCATTTTTGACAAATCTGTAAAATTAGGAAAGTTTTATATAATTTCGAGGACTGACTGCAAGGACAATATTTATTTACAAATTAAAGTGGAACAAAAACACTACAGTAAAACATTCTTTAACTATTCTAAATGTGTATGTGATCACCATTTTCCCGAACAAATTGCTCATACACTCTAATTGTATGATGTCTTGCATTTAGTAACATTTCCGGGTTGTCTCTTAACTGATTTATTGCCTCTGAAATCCTTTGCCGAAGTTCCACGACATTATTACAAGTTCTTCGCACGTGATTTTTTATGTGTTCTCAAAAGAAAAAGTCCATTACAGTCGGGGATGCACCTCTGGGTTTTTATTTCGTGTATTTGTCTAGGATTATTTAAATGCCAATTTCGCGTATTTTGTCTGTTACAGTTATTTGTTATAAATATACTATTAAACGCATATATAACATACAGGGTGTTTAACTTAAAAATATGATGTAGGCTCATATGTCAGAAAAATTATAGTGTTCTGTTTTATAGGTCACTTTGAAAAAAACTTGGCTACTAAACCTACATTTTGTTTTTTGTTTACCTTGGTATCTCTAAAGACAAAAAAGTTACAGTCAATTAAAATGTTACCAAGACAAATTGACCGCACGGTACATACAGAGCTTATTTTCGAAGATTTTTAACAAACTTTTTAACAACTTAATCGTTAGATACAACAGATGTCAACGTAAATAATTTTATGGCTTCTTCTTTTTGTGTAAATTATTTGAGGTTCAACGCTAATCCATATCCGGTGCGCACCAAAATTGATATTATCTATTGACCGTTTTAGGTCGAATTAACTTTTCCAACTCTCCTATAATATGTGGTCGAACTTAAGTTGCCTTAATTTATTTAAATCAAAGGTATAAATCTACGCCTTTTTTTTATTGTTGATATAATAAATTAATTGCTCGCTAAGCCTATATTGAGTGCCTTTCTGTAAAAAGATATTTTGGTTCTCTATTTTTTCGCAATGGATGGAATTGTTCTTTTAAAAAAATAATCCTTCCTCGACAAAATTTGTGATTGTAAAAAAAAGTTTTGAATACGAGAAGAGATTTTTAACCTTATTTAATACATTTTCTAATTCTGAAATGAACCAAAAAATAGACGAATATAAGAAAAAAAATACTGTGCAAATTCTTAAAATGTTGTGTAACACATTAACGGGAAATGAACGAAATGCAAAAAAACATACTTAATAGTAAGTCTAGTTTGGTTATTTTTTTTGTTTAATTATTTATTTAATTATATTAATTATTATTGCTCATTTAATTAAATTTTGAGAAGATTCAGATGGCAAACCTTACATACACAACGAACAAATTAACCCAAACCATTTAAAGGAAGCCTCAAGATTTTTCAAGACGTGAGAAGGATGAGACTAAAAAAGACTTATTTTAATTATCCCTTTTACAAAGTGTCGAAAATAGTCTCTATTTTAATGTGTAAAAATCCAATTGTTTAAATTTTGTTAATCTGACAATTGTTTTCATTAAATTTTATTTTTTTTTTAATTATGAATATAGTTTAATCTGTTTGAACTATGTATGATTGATTAATATAAGCGATAAACTGTACTTAACGAAAAAATACAGTTCAGCGAAAATTATAATTGATAAAACATTTTTATTCAAATGTTTTTGAATGGTACCAATAGAAATGCATCAATTGGATATTTTAAACGTTTTCAAAGTCGTTTTCGTGTTTTACAAAGTTGTCTGTGTATGTTTTCTTATGTTTTTTTTCACGTTTATTATGTTTTATTTGTATCGGCAAGGGACGTAACTTACGCAAGTTAAGAGCGGTAAGCCCAAGTTGTGTTGAAGAGCGAAATCAATAACCGTGCGGTTAAAGTCGCCATTGATGCCAAACATGGTAACAAGCTATTAAAAAATCGATCTCGATAACTTGCAAATCATCGTTATCGTGAAAAAAAGTCGCTTCAATATTGTGAATGCCCCTGGGTTTCGCGTCAGTTGATTAGAAAAACAAATGCTGTAATGGTTTCAAAAAATTGGCAGTTTCTTGGAAATCGTATGAGTCTATTTTGATTCGTAGTTTACTCCAATAAACCTTTCGTTAAGTTTATTATCTAATAATATTACAAGGATACAAGTGCATAATAAAAGTGTAATTGTCATGTCATCAAGCACAAAAACTAGCCAGGACTATCTGTTAGCAGATGATATTTATTTTGAATTCAGTTATAAAAATGCTGAATTTTTGGAAGTCAGCATACCCGAAAATATTTTTTTTTTACTTTAAGTCCCAGAATTCGTTCCTAAAGCAAAACTCAGCACAACATACTTGGAGACAAACTATACACATTTCGAAAAACGATAGTGACGGTCAATTCTACGTCTTGTTAAACTGCATAATTATTTAATAGAAAACAAAAAAAATTACTACAAACCCGATGGAATGAGCACGCAGTTCCCCACTCCTAGCACTATCAACATTACTTAGAGGTAGGTTTTTGGCACTTGTGCGCAATCCTTTAACAAATATTAATGAAATCTTAAAAGTTGGGTAACACATTTTTTACAGTCCCACGCCTGAAGTTGTCAAATATAATGGGTGTTTTTTTTCGATGTACAGAACTTAAAGTTGGCATTACTGTTCAAGATGGCGACCGATTTAACAGCTGTCAAGTGATTAATTCTCAGTTTGGTTTGGCAATTCATCATGAATTTATCAAGTAAGGCTAGGCTCATCCAATTGGCCCAAAACGAGATTGCCGATGTTCCCGATTTTCATAAGCGAATTTTGTTTAGCGATGAAGCGCACTTCTGGTTGAATGGCTACGTCAACAAACAAAACTGCCGCATTTGGAGCGAAGCTAATCCTCAAGTGTATGTCGAAACACCGTTATATGCAGAAAAACTGAGTGTTTGGTGCGTTTTATGGGCTTCAAAAACGATGATGACCAGAACTTTACAGTCAAGGGCGATCGGTATAGAGCTATGATTACTAAGTCTTTCATTCCTGAATTGAATAACCATGATGTCCATAGATGTGGTTTCAACAAGCCTCGTGCCACAATCGATTTATTTATCGATTATTTATTGGTGACCGCCTAATTTTACGTTTTGGACCTGTGAATTAGCCTCCAAGATTTTGGGATTTAACACCACTATGTAAAGTCATTGGTCTATGCGGATAAGCCACAAACGCTTGACCATTTGGAAGACAACATTCGTCGTGTTATTGCCGATATACGGCCACAAATGTTGGAAAAAGTCATCGAAAATTGGACTTCCAGATTGGACTACATCCGCGCCAGCCGTGGCGGTCACATGCCAGAAATGATATTTAAAATGTAATGCCACAAGATTATCTTTCGGATGAATAAAATTCATGTCAATCGAATAATCCATCGTTGTTTTATTGCAACTTAAAGTTCTATATATCGAAAAAAAAAACACCCCTTATAAAGAGGAGAAAAGTCATTCATAACAAAAAGTTATTTTTGTGAAGATGCGATGATTTTTAAACGGTTCTATGCTATGACGTGGAATTGTGAAAATTTTATTTTCCAAGATTCTTTGAAAAATCAATACCGCCGATGTTCAGTGCTCTGTAATACTAAGCCGATTTACCTGGCTACCAAATAGAAGCATTTGGTGTCTAATGAGTTGCAGATCTAAGCACACAGTGTCGTTTGCTGGTGGCAGCACGTTAGATTTTCATTTTCATTGGCCAGTTTTGAGTATATAACGGCTGAGATTTGGTCACGATGTGAGAATAAGCACCTGACCGATAGAATAACTGTGGTACTGTCCATGAAAGGGAAAAATATGTGTTGTCCTGCGTTGTGAAAACGACAAATAATATAATTAATAGTAGCAAATATATTTGGAAGCGGTTCTTAAATGGATTGTGTCGGGAGCCTGACTGAGGTAAGAGTCGACAATTGAGGCTTCCACTACCATCATTATTAATTTGACAAACGCATCATGCTCAATCTAAAGTTTTCAAGGCATCCTAAGGAATTACTATGAATACGGCCTTTAACCGTCGATTCTTATTCTTGACAATTCGATATTATTTGGAATAAGTAAAAAAAAAAAAATAATATGCGATATCCGTTTATTTGAATATCAACCCGTATTTCCATAACGTAAACATTTAATTATTCATTGGAAAATCAACGGTCATTGTTTGATGTTGCTCGCAGATAACCGAATCGTTTTTGCCACATCCCCGTAATTTGATTTAGTATATATCTATACACATTTTGAACAAATGCAACTGTTACCGGTATTAAATTTAAATAATGCAATTAAAATTCGTTG